GGGTCGCCATTTCTGAAGCAGGTGCAAAGGCCAGCTGAGCTCTGCTTGCAGCCATGTTTTTGCACCTTTGCTGATGCCATGCTGTTCTACCAGAGAACCCGAGAAGAATTCCAGCGTCTTCTCCTAGGATTTAACCCACAGAGACAGGACTCCTCAGGCAAAGCAAAACCCAAACTGAGGTCATTCTTTGTAGAGTTCATGACTCAGCAGATAATTTAGGGGGAGAGGAGAGAGGGGAATTAAGTTCTCCTGGTGACTGCCTCAGAAATTTTTTGTCCAAGGAGAAGTTGCTTACTTCTTGAGCATCTCAAGAGGATACGGGAATCTCTTCATTGTAATGGTTCAGAGTCAAGTAGACAAGACTGAATTTCAGTCTCCTAACTGTAAAATCTTGGTCAAGTGACTTACCTCTCTAAACCTCAGCTTCCTCACCTGGAACCAAAAGACTTACCTCAGAGGGTATTAGAGGATTATCTGTACCATGCACATGAAGTCCCTACCATGTTAAGTGCCTTGTAAGTATCAGTTGCTACTAATACTGTTGCTTGTTGTTCCTAATTGAGTCCTGTTATTTCATTCAGATGGATACTTTGGAACCTTTCGGGGATGAATTTAGTGGAATGGCCAGATGCCCTTATGATGCCAAACATGCCAACATTGCACTGTTTGCAGGTAAATGCCCTGATTTCTCTTCATTGCATCTGCTTTCGCGTGCTCAGCCTGTGGCTGCAGATCTACTCTGGAGAATTCGCAGCGTCACAGTTGTACTTTGATTCTCTGGTGAATACTGTAATTAAGGCTGCCTTTTCCATTTGAAATTCATACGGAAATTGTACTTTTGCTTTTTAAGAGAAGTCTCTGCCACGCTTACCCATGCTTCTGTGCCTTCAGAAAGAACAACTGCTTTGCACTGACCATGTGACATGTTGGTTAGGGCATGTTTGGGCTCAGTAGAAAATCCCACCTTGAACCACTGATGTGGATTGATTATTTAAGGCAGGGTAGGCTTTGGGGTTGGGTTGATTCAAGGACTCAATAATCTCATCCAGGACGCAGGTCCTTGTCACTTCCCTGCCCCACTTCCTTTCTCACAGGCATAGGATGGCTGCCAGGCCCCAACTAGGGCTATGGGTTTTCTTGTCCACATACAGAGGGGAGAAGGAAAGAGATAAAAGGAGGCTTCTGGGAGACCTACTCACAAGTCACCCACCCAAATGTCGTTGGCCTATCAGGTTACATGCCCACCTCTGGTGTTTGAAAAATTGTAATGGCCGAAGCGATGATGCTTGTGAGCCGAGGCTGACCCATATTCCCCATCCTCACCCCTCACCCCTTCCTTCCATTGCAAAGGATACAGAACAACAGCAAATGAGCTATCACATTCAGTGGGATTTCTGTGTATGTGTGTGTGTGTTAATTTATGTAGGAATTCACTGCCAGCTGTGTTCGTGGAGGTGGGTGTGGGGGGGAGTGTTGGTATAAGAGTGATCGCTACAGCATGTAATGAAGCGTTAGCTGGTATTTCCACCACGAAGGTAAGAAGTGGCACCCCTAGCTAGATGAGGGGCTTTAGGGCTTCGATTATGAAACACGGTTAGCCCCCTGAACCCATCCTCAATGCCATCCATTTGTGGGCCTGAATCTGCGGCCACAGGTGGAAGAAGTGGCCTGTGGCAAGTTAAGAAGGAAGGTTCCTCGAGTTCTCCCCAGAGCTGAGCACAGTACTGCTGGGAAGCTGCCCTGTGAGAAACACACAGTCTTGTCAACCTGCTTGTGCGCATGGGCTGGGCAGAGCCAGTGGGGAGTGCCTGAGGGTATTTCTAAGCGCATAACTTCTTCTGTAGCACTTTCTGACTCTTGGGACCTGCGTTAGTCGGTACCATGGAGGATGCGGGCTGCAGGAGAGAACGTCCGTTTCACTGCCAACTAAAAAGAGGCAGCCTGAGGTACAAAGAGGAGAATGGACAGAGCATTTACTAAGGCCACCAGCCTTCCAGGAGCAGGTTGACCACACTAAGACTGCCACTCCTCCAGCAGGCATATCTGAATAAGCGTTTACTGAAATGTTTGAAATCTCATAAACGCTCAGCCCTTATAAACAGAAGACACTTCTTGCACCTGAATGGTTGTCATACTACCAAGAATGGCGAAACAGTACCCTGATTTACAAGTAAAAGTTCTGCTGAGATACCCAGTGTAGAATGCAAAACACAAAGAGCACTGGGAAGTGGTCAAGAGCGATAACCACACACACTCTCACACAGACACACACGCTGCCCTCCCCTAGCCCCCCATCTCTCAAGTGCATCTGTGTGACCTGGGACTATGATTCTATGAGAAAAGTAGTGATTTTTGTATCAATAGAAAGGTTTGCTGTCTGCAGTTCAAATCTACCCCAGTCAACACCTATTGATATATTACTGCTAATAATGTAGACATCAGGACAGCTCTATCTTGAGCTTGAGCAAATTTCAGTTAAGACCAAAAGCAGACATCAAGAACTTGGCTCAGGTATGCTTGGATAAGCTTTAAAAAAAAATTGTTAATCGCACAAATAGAAGAGCTTAAAGAGGACTGTATTATATATAGGCCACTTGTGAAGATGCTTTTGAAGCCACAATTAATGAAGACATGTAAACCATTAAAAATGCAAGAGGAATTCATTTTTATATTGAATATAATTACTGTTTCCACTTCATCGACATAGATTTTGCTATTCCAGCACAGCCCATTTGATTAGTTGTGTGAAGAATGCTTGCTAATCCAGAGAAGAAACCAAACATTTTAAGGAATAACCTTCACACTCTTCTGCCCTGGACATATCCTCAGGCGTACATCCCTAAAAGCATGAATTCTTAAGGAGAGACCAGTTTGAACCCAGCATCATCCCTTCCCCACTCTTCTCTTTGGCCTCTTGTGTATCAGAATGTTCTCAGTTTGGGACTTGGGAAATACCGAAGCAAATATCTCTTAAACATAAAGCTGGACTGGAAGGGCTTCGTGGCTCTCAAGAAGGTAGAACAGAGCAGAAACTATCAAGACAGAAGAAGCGATTTTAATCAGCTCTTTTTTGCTTATGAATCCCCTTTCTTCAACTACCCTCACCCGCTCAGGCTGAGCACCCTTACTTCTGCCTGTAGTTAAATTTTCTGGTGATACAATCAGGCTCTATCTTCCCCTGGGCTCCCACCTAATCCAGTTTACCACGGGGTGGTGGCAGTTGCAGTGTCCAAGGGGCTGTGGCCTTGAGATTTCAGTCAAGGTCCATCTAATCAACGAAGCAAATAACGTTTTTCCATTTGCCCTGTTTCCAGAGCTGCTGCTGCTTAGAAATTGCCATGCAATTTAAACATGAAAAACGTTTCAGCTCTCATGATTCCAGTTTAAAAATGGGTGGGAATGTGGGCCAAGTATTTTCCAAGCGACTCTCAGATTTTCCCCAGCTGTCCTATCTTACTGGCCTGGTGTAGGAGAGCTCCGTGGGGGGTGTCTCTCCGATTCCCCCATGCCCACTGTCTTGCTCCAACCCCGTTCACCTCTTTCCTTTTTCTTCTAAGATGGAAAACTGTACTCGGCCACAGTGACTGACTTCCTTGCCATTGATGCAGTCATTTACCGGAGTCTTGGAGACAGCCCAACCCTACGGACTGTCAAGCATGATTCAAAATGGCTGAAAGGTGAACAGACAATTAAAAGAAGAAAGGAAGGGAGGTGGGGGAGAGATGTAACTTGCAGGGACATTTAGAGTCTGGACAGAGCGGACTGTAGTTTCATTTCAGTAATGGCTTCTGACAGACGGGAAGGTGGAAGTGCAATCTTTTGCTCCAATTGATTTATTTACCTCCCCTTTTCACTTCCCATGAGTTTCTGGAGTATTATCAAAACTACCAATGCCACGACAATAGAATACATTACATTCATCTTTCCTGCTTCAGGCTCTCAATTCAGAGCCCCACATGAGAACAACGAAACATTTCATTCATGGAAGGGAACAGGGGATTGGAGGTGGTGGGGATCAGGAAAAAAGCTATTCACAACCCTGTATGAGTCAAGGATGACAAGGAGAGATGTGCACACAATCCTTTCTGTAATGTGAGCATTCCATTGTGGAAAATAAAATTACAGAGATATGCAAAGCTCATTTACTCTTCATTGCTGATTGCAACTGCTTCTGAAAGATAAAATTTGTAAGCTTAAATGCTTTCTGAAACCACCAGCACGTTCATGTGTGAAGTCACTGGAGACGGTTAGTGTTAACCAAATGACTAATGGCCCTACACTTTTATTTAATAACATATCTTTGGTTGCAACTGATTGAAGTTCTTTTAACTCTGTGTGACATGTACCCAGTTAAAGTGCACCCATTTGTCCACAGAACCGTACTTTGTCCAAGCGGTGGATTATGGAGACTACATCTACTTCTTCTTTAGGGAAATAGCGGTGGAATACAACACGATGGGAAAGGTAAGAGGGGAGGATGTCTCAATTTGGGGCCAGTGTTGTTGTGAATGACCTTGAAATAAGTACTATAAATCTAACAACAAATTCACCATTTTGAGCAGATCCAGCCAGAGATTGGTGGAAGTGAAACACTATTTCCCTGAAGCCCCGTATGCTTTTTCCGAAGGGTAACAGATTACAGGGAACTTCTTAAATATTTATACTGAAAACTTAATAGATAGATGTTTCGCTGATTTCATACTGAGTTGCAGGTAACTTCAGATGTGGTTTCCAGGTCTACTCGTCAGGTTTTTCCTTTTTAAAAATCGAGTTGCTCCACAAAGGCAGAGTAAATACTCAGTGTCTTTAGGCAAACCAAGGGTCTTGATCGTATTCATTGCAAAGAGCAACAGAACACGTAGGGGATGTCTATTCCAGCTGCTGTTACCCGAGAGTGGAGCAGGATCACTAGGTCGGAGGGCACAAACTGAGCACCAGGGCGGCTTGCACAGTTAGAGGCATTCGGAGCATGAGATTCAGGGCCCAGAGGCCGCTAGTGAGGATGGCAGAGACGGTGCATATAAAGTACGCTTTTGTTTGAGGAAATAAAAAGCTAAGCAGTCTGTATGGAAATGAGTTTATGTGGCTGGGAGCTGATCCCCTGAAGGATTTATGGCTCTGTATTAAATGCCACAGCCTTATCTTCCAAAACATGTTGTTCCAATGCTGAGGTTTTCCTTTTATTTTTGCTACTGATTTTAGAAACATGGGATTAAATTAAGCACCTTGTTCTGTTTCTATTTTCTAAGAAAGGCAAATTCTACCAAGATCTCATCGAAAAGTGAGTGAGTTTAATTTCCCCTGTGTTTTTCCTCTGCAGGTAGTTTTCCCAAGAGTGGCCCAGGTTTGTAAGAATGACATGGGAGGGTCTCAGAGAGTTCTGGAGAAACAGTGGACATCCTTCCTTAAGGCTCGCCTGAACTGCTCCGTTCCTGGAGACTCTCACTTTTATTTCAACATACTGCAGGCAGTCACAGACGTGATTCGGATTAATGGCCGTGACGTTGTCCTGGCAACCTTTTCCACACCTTATAACAGGTAACCGTGCCCTGGCTGTGTGGACCTAATCCATCCTTTCCGGCTTCCTTTTCTCGAGGGGTTCTTGTCTAATCCACAAGATTTGCCACAGACAAAAACACTGCCATTCTACTATTTGTAGCTGAGAACTTAACGCTCAGTTATCAACAAGTTAACGTCATTTATAGCACTACTGGCTTAGGATTTCAGGGAAAGTAATTAGATAAGTTATAACAGCATCTTCTTTGTATGCGTCAGGTATAAACGCTGATAATGTGTTCTTTCTCAATCCCTCTGGTAATCCTGGAAAGTAAATACTGCTGCCTCCTTTTCACACTTGAGGAAACCGAGTTCAATTATGCTATCTGGTCCAGGTAGTCAATAGGTGGAAGCAGCAGCTCTGGAACTCAACAGTGTTTCTCCTTTCTGTTCTATGTCATCTAACATTTTATTTGACTTAAAACATTTCTATGAGTGGATCAGTAAATTCTGAAGTAAAAATATTGGAAACTTATTGAAATGCTACAGACAGAAGTTCAGGGATTAGATGAGTCCACCTGGCGTCCCACCTAAGGAGCACTGGCTACTATGCTGTCAGAGGAACCGAGTCCCAGCCACAGCACCACTGTCTGACCCTGGGGGGTTCTAGCAACTATTTCTAAGTCATCAAACACTGTACTGAGAAATACTGAGGGTCAGACTGTTCGTTCCTATTTTTCATTTATTTAAGCTAAGACACTTATCACTGTTCCCGGAACAGTGGGAATGTGTGGAGAACAGAAGGAAGAGGGCCACGTGCTCCCCGGTACTCGGCTCTCGCAGACCTCAGAGCCCCAGCACCGCTGTGCAGGATGCTCCTGAAACGGAAATACACGTGCTGTATTCTCACTTCTGTGGAGAACTCTGCACGTCCTCTGTTAGCTTCAGGAATGCACTGTTTTGTTTCGGATTGTCCTTTTCACAAAGCCTTGGAAGAGCGTGATGAGTGACTAGACGCAGGCACATGCACGATGAGGCCGAGGACAGCAGCTAGTAGGAAGGGCTTCAAAACCGGGAGAGCCCAGAGCAGAGCAAGTGGAGAGGGGAAATACTGTTCCTCGGCCATCTAGGGGGCAAGAGTCAAGAGTGCCCCTCCGAAGATACAAGAAAGTATGAATCCCTACGGTAACAAGAAGTATCCAGTTAGATTTTAGTCAGCTGTCACCCTCTGAAGGAACTTTTAAACTTGAGGATAGAAAAGATATAAAAAGTCTGCCTGGACTGTTCATACTTCGGAAGCCATGGATCCAGGAGTGCTGAAAAAGGACACTGTTTTGGAACACGGGGATGCAGGTGCTAGTGGAATTTCAGAGCACATTTCTAGTTTCTTTGGTTTTTGAGGGGGTGAGTTACTTTGTGATCACAACAGAGTAGTAGATTCCTGCGTATTATGTATACTCCATTTAAAGAATTTCCTGAAAGGCCCCTCAGAAACGTTCAGTAAGTGCGTGCTAATGCAGTCCCAGAAACCGTATGTTGTAAAATCAGAAGCTGGCAAAAATACGCATACCCAGTTTCATCTATGAATTATAGCCCCTCTCTGGTTTTACTCCTCTGGATCCATCCCTCTCCATCCCGTCCACCACACAGGCACAGGTGGTCACGTCCGGTTGTTTCAAATCCCGAGGTGCTCCTCTGTGCCCTGGGGACATGCAGGCCCCTCGCGGTCAGGCCCACACTCCTCCTCCAGCTCAGCTGGCTCCCTGGACTGGCTCCTGCCCTGCTCTGCCAAGTCTGCTCGTCCAACCCCGCCGAACCCCTGGGGAGGCTCCAAGCCTCAGCTGCAGCCACCTCCCACGGAGCCTTGTGCATACTTCTTATCCACAAGGCTCTTACCAGACTGACTTAGAACAGAGGTCGTTGTTAGCATTACCATTACTGTTGTTTTTGTTATTATTTGCCTCCAGTTCAGAACTGTGAGTCAGCTGAGAGCAAGACTCTGTTACTCACCAAGCACTCGCTGCCTGAGATGAGGGATTCCATAAATACATGTGGAATGAACAGAAGATGGGAAGAAAAGGAGGGAGTAAAGTAGGGAAGGAAAAATGATTTTACAAATGATTCCAGCTTTAGGAAGATTTTAACACCCTAGGGTATCTTCAGTCATCATGAAGTGCCTCATAAAATACTTCAATATTTATCCTCTTTTTCTTAATATTTAAAGGAAATAAGTACAGCTCTTACTTTTAAGAAAACGAGATGTGAAGAGAGTCTTACAAGATTAAATAAGACTGGGGGTTCTGAAATTTCAAACCAAATGCGGATCGCTGTTTCATTATACACTTAACTCTGTGAATAATACGCGCACACATACACACACACATTAAAAGCAATTCATCCTGCCACCCTGTTTTAAATAAGCTTTCTAATCCTCTCCCTATTTCTTGCTTTATTAGTAATACTTCAATAATTGTGTTATAAAATTAAAGGTGGCATAAAGTTCTCCTAATGATACATGAAGTAATTTCCATATCCTTTCAACATTTGCAAAATCAGGACTAAATCGTTCTCTCTGCCCCGGACGGTGTCCCCACGCTGCGGAGCGCCTGTGCCTTGTCCCGGGTGCTTCTGCTGTGCAGTCGCCCAATACCTCAAAGCCTGACTGAACCTGGTGGCCAGCCAGTGTCTGAAATTTATTTAATCAAAACCGAGGAATGTCCATAGTCAGAAACAAACATGGGTTCAAGCAGTGTACCTGGAGGAATGAATAATTCATGTCAACTCATCACTGAGAGAAAGAAAAAAAAACCGAAGTCCTTCTAGGAGGGCCAGGCAAGGGTGTAATTATAGGTAGAGATTACTGTCATTATTATTATTTAGCACTTAATGGAGCACTTTATTTGCAAAGTGTTGGTGCTTTAGAGATTTAAATTCTTTAGTCTTATGCAAATAAACAGGAAGTAAAAACTGAAATGTGCAGGGACTAACATAAAACATGGTTGGCCTCCTCACAAAGAGTTTCTCACTCCTGAAGTCCTGGGCCTGGGGAACCAAATTTAAAGAAGGAATGTGTGGACAGTAGGGGCACCTTTACGCTAGATTTTCAGCAATATTAGAGATGCAGAATGATTTCCAGCGATTTTACCTTTGGGTGACTGACTGATAATTACTATCAGGAAATTCATGAAACTTCTACATCACCAGCTCAATCGTTCCTCCTTCGTAAACAAAAGCAGTTCCAGACACAAGAAGAGGTTTTTTTCCTACAAGTCTGCTGTAACCAGCCCTTTCTTTAAGGCCACTGATGCAAATTTGATTCACAGAAACATTCTCTTAATGCACTGGGATCCCTTACACTTCCAGGATTCAGGGTACAGACTAATTTCACCTGCCATTACTAGGAAAGTTTCTTCGGAGTATGTTTTCCAAACTGCATGCATAAGTGTTGTATGAGTAACACTCTGTGTGAAATGTCATATTGCAGCATCCCGGGATCTGCGGTCTGTGCCTATGACATGCTTGATATTGCCAACGTTTTCACTGGGAGGTTCAAAGAGCAGAAGTCTCCAGACTCCACGTGGACGCCGGTTCCTGATGAACGAGTGCCTAAGCCCAGGTGTGTGCAAACAGTTCTGTGAGTTTTGAGAAATGGTGCCATTGGCTCCCTTGGTGATGAGCATCTTATGAACAGCACACCAGTGCTTCCATGCTGACCACACAGACACAAATGCCAACAACAAAGAAAGGCCTGTGAGGCCATTTGCCTTCATTCCTTTAATCAAAACCCCCAATTACCTATAGTTGTATTCGAAACAGTGACTCTCTAGTCTTTTGCTTAACCTCTGTATCTGTGGATTACCAGTGTAATCCCTGGATGATCGGAACCATCTGGTCCGATGCCCCCATGGTCTACAGGTGAGGAAACTGAGGCCAGAGGTATAAAATGTACTGTGCAAGTTCACAGAGCTGGGTCAGTGATTCCCACCACTCCTCCCTGCTTTTCTTCAATTTTACAGAGGCCCATGTCTTTAAACCTTAATAAAAAGTGAACTATAAATGGCATTCTCTGGATTGGACTCACTCAGAGCTGATCCCAGACTCCAGGCCAGGGGCAGGTAGAGACCAGCGGGTAGTGGGCCATTAAGGTGTCTCTGGTCTGCCAGGTTCTGGTCTGTTTGGAGCCCAAATGCACCGTTGATTTTCCCCTCCCCACAACGTGCTCCAAAATTGCTTTTATGAGGAGCCTACTTACTGTTCAGAGACAATGCAGAGAACTTCCGGTAGCCTCCATCGAATCCTCACGCTAAACCAGTTAATTAATTCCTTCTTACTGGGACAGGATGAAACTCCCCCAGCCCTGCGCCTGCCCTCTCTATATGACATACACGGCACCCTCCATTATGGTTTCTGAAATCTAAGTGATACAGGAACATCCCTGTGTGTCCAGCTTCCTCCACTTAATCTGTGTGCCTCTGGAAGGAAACCCAGAGTCTTCTTACATTTTCTGGTTTCCAACTCTCTCCTCCAACCTTCAATCCCGCACACAAATACCTAACACAATTCACTTAATCGAACTAACTTAGATAATATGAAACGCTATACCCAGGGGAGAAACCCCTCTGGCTCATCCGTCTTCGTCACCTGAATTATCTGGCACGTGCATTCTCTGTTACTTACGGAGAGCAGAGGAGGTGCAAACAGCACACCTTGGCAACTGCAGGCAGATGCTCTAAGTCATTGCCTGGGATTGTCAGCTAACTTCCAGCTAAGCAGGAAGGGAAGTTAAACCTGAGGGATCAGGCTTCAGGGAGTGCTTATGCAGTATGACCCCCTGGGTGAGGAAAGATGGTCACTCAGCTGTCCGAGGACACATACTTAAAGTGATTTTCTACTGGGGACAGAGTTTGCCCTCCTCCTTCCCCATGCTTGCCTCTCACAGACAACAGGATGCCTTCACTGGCTGGCTGCATCAGTGCCATGAAACAGCATGTGCCTGGGGCTAGATCCTGCTCGTGTTGCCAGGGTCCACTTTTCCCTGTGCACCAGCGGGCAAACCAGGCGTCTGGACAGGATGGGCACCGGTGTTTCCCTGATCTGACTTTGCTGAGATGTCCCTTAACTCCTGAAATCATATGATTTCTTATAGAAACAAATTTTCACTGTCATTGTTCAATAATTTAAAAAATGCCTTTTCAGGAAAGAATTTCCGTGTTTAACTGGCTTTTCACACATGTCCAAATCAAACAGAAACAATAAAAATCAAAACCTAAATGTTCTCTGACCCCTGGGTAACGAGAGATGGTTACACTGATTTTAGCTAGTATGTAAGGCTGGTGGCTTTTTGAACGACTTCGTTTTCTACATTCGTGAAAAGGTCAGCCCAGTTATTGGTCTCCTTTTGTGGAGCAAATGCCTTAAGAACTTGCAGGGGAATTGCAGAACAGGCAGAGCAGTCCCAGAGACATGTGCAAACCAGACCCTCCCTCACCGGTTTCAAGCTCCATCCCTGTTGATGGGTTTGTCTGTGCTTCCGGTGGGGAAGCCAGGCTGCCCCTCGCCGAGCCTGGACAGCCTGGCTGAGGCTTCTCTGTGGCAGGAGGAGGTGGCCTAGAGGAAACCTAAGGATGTTTTTTGGTGGCATTCTGCATTGTTCAACTTCCTCTTCTCAGCCTACGGTATATTTATTCTCCTTCATGCCAGATGAAGAGAGAAGCAGTGCATTCAAAAAATTTGCCATAAAGCATGAAATAAGCTCTCTCTCCCTTTGTTTCTTTTCAGGCCAGGCTGCTGCGCTGGCTCATCCTCCTTAGAAAGATACGCAACCTCCAATGAATTTCCTGATGATACCCTGAATTTCATCAAAACGCACCCGCTCATGGATGAGGCTGTGCCTTCCATCATCAACAGGCCATGGTTCCTGAGGACGATGGTCAGGTGGGTGTCAAGCAAGCCATGTCCTAAGTGGATTTCCCCTATTCCTCTCTCATGTTCAGAGAAAAAGTACATGATCAGTGGATTGTGATTTGAAATGCCACAGACATCTTCTGTTATCCTGGGCACTGATTCAGCAATGAAGTGCTGGGCAATTGGGTGGATGCCACCAAACCCCCATAACCACACTCCCAGAGAGCCGAGTTTGGATATTTGCAGGCTGGTTGGACACATGCCAGCAATTAGAGGGACTGAAGATACTTCCTTCCCGGTTAGCCCACTGGTCCCATCTGTGTAAAAGCAGAGGAGCAGTGAAGGAGAATCCGGCAATGCATGTGGATACCTGTTGGGTTGGATATGGCTGCAGATCCCCTCTGAGTACTGTCCCTGGGTTGTCAGCTGTCAGACCGAGCATGACTAATGGAGCATTTGCACAAGTGCCCCAGTACAAAGAGTTTATGCTTTAGCATTTGTTATCTGAAGTGGGGGCCAACAGAGAAGGGGTAGCTGATTCAAAATCTGTGATGGCATTAAATACTCCTCCTTCTCATATTTATTTAGTGCTTATTTCCAAACAGTTCAACAGGCTTTCCCAAGTACCATCCACTTGTGGCAGTCATCAAACCAAATGTTAATTAACTTTACCCCCATTTTTAAAAGGTGACTTTACTGAAAGATATTCAGGCACTATAACGGCTCTTGCCAATAAGATGGAAACCATGGTATGTAACCTGCAGGAGGGCCCACGTTCCTGCCACGATGCTCAAGGACAAATGGGTACCCATGGAGTGTCAAACAGCTATAGGAGCTTAGAGGAGAGAAGGATGCCCAATAGGACTTATCCTAGACAGGTGACAGGACTGATGGCCTTCACCTTTGGCTGTAAATGGATCCTGTTTGGCTCATACGTCCTTATACTTATTAATAGTGTCATTAGCACCCTACCTCCCCATCTGTCATAACCTCAGCCCCTCCACACACAATCAGAAAGCTTTCCAACCTGACATTCTGTTGACAGGTCTTTGCACCCCAGAGGAGGCGTCTGGAACAATGGTAGCCATGACTTTTCTTTTCAACATTCAATGAAATGTTAGCTGTGATCCTATAGTGGTTAGTACTCTGCGCTGTGAAATGTTAAAATGAGTTCACTTATTATTTCTTCTCCTCTTCATAGGAGACATCAGTCTTCCCTTGCTGCTCATGGAAGGCATAACTGCTGAGTGGTTTCAGATGGTTATGGCTGTGTATTTGTTATGTAACTTGGCCTCCACATGTACATACCTCTTTCCTCCCCTCGGAGCCATACTAATGCTCTGCATATGGAAATAAAGGACCAGAACAGCTTGAGAGCATTATTTATATGCATACATTTTTCTTGAGGTTATTACTAGAAAGCCCTAGCACAACTGTTTGAAGTGGAAAAGGGGATACTTCAATCAAAGACCAACAAAGAGATAAAAAATGTGGTCCTGTCATTGTAGATACCGCCTGACCAAAATTGCAGTGGACACCGCTGCCGGGCCGTATCAGAATCACACTGTGGTTTTCCTCGGATCTGAGAAGGGAATCATCCTCAAGTTCTTGGCCAGGATAGGAAACAGTGGTTTCCTAAATGACAGCCTTTTCCTGGAGGAGATGAGCGTTTACAACCCTGAAAAGTACGTAGAACAGTTTGGTTCTTTCTTAGTAATTATTTGTTTCGCTATGATGATCTTTTCCATTCAGATAAATCATGGCTGACTTAGGTTTTATGCATCTTTCCGTGACTTTAAGTCGTTATTTGTAGAAATCTTTTCATATGTTAAAAGCATCATTTTCTCCTTACCAAAAATGCGTGAGTTTACACAGATAACTCAAACATTGTGTGTTTACGTGTGTGTGTGTTTGGGTGCACACGTAAGGATCCATTTCACCTTCAGCTGGGTCCGATGAGGACCAGCCTCGCTGGCTGGGAGGAGGGTGTGGAGGCGGTGGCAGGAAAAAGAGAACTGACCCAAGAGCGGACACTAGCGGTCTCGCCCTGCCTTACAAAACCAGGTGCAGCTATGACGGAGTAGAAGACAAGAGGATTGTGGGCATGCAGCTGGACAAGGCCAGCAGCTCTCTGTATGTTGCGTTCTCCACTTGTGTGATAAAGGTCCCTCTTGGCCGGTGTGAACGACATGGCAAGTGTAAAAAGTACGTATTTGCCCCAGTGCCCTTTAGAAAGTCGCAGAGCTGAGAAAGGAGTGCTGGGTAGCTCACGGTCACCCTCTTCCTGCAGGACGTGCATCGCCTCCAGAGACCCGTACTGCGGGTGGGTGAAGGAAGGAGGGGCCTGCGCCCACCTGTCACCCGGCAGCAGGTAAGGAGCCTGGGCCGTGGGAGGGTATGAAGCAGCCTCTGGCTGCTGTGCATTCTAGACTTCACTTACGCCGTCCGATTCGCTGGCCTCACACACACCGCTGCTGCTCAGCCTTCCGTGGACAAACCTCATCAGTGTGACTGCCAGCCATTCTCCTTCCTTTTCCCATTTCACGAACACCCCGTCACAGGTGGCAGATTCCCTACTGAGTAATCATCCATCCTCAGACTGATTAAAAACACAGAGGAAAACAACACAGTGGACTTCTCAGTGTTCCCTGGGGAGAGGGACAGGCTGGTACATGCCTTGATCATGTCGGTGCGAGAACAGCAGAGAAAAGGAGCAAGAGGGTACCAATTAGATTAGTGATGTGGTTTGTCCAGCCACAGCAAGACTGGCCACTCTAATTGACCATACAGGGCTGAGAAGAAATTACAGAGCATTTGCTAAGTGACGTGTTTGTTCTGCAAGCATGCTGTATACATCCAATAAACCCTCCTGCATTGAAGAGCAGCTGACCCTACTACTCATTAGGTAGTCAATCAATTCTTGGCATTTCTCCAGCAGATCCGCTAGATCAAGCCAGTCTGCCACGCATGTGCTTCTGGTGCTTACAACTGTTACCCTGACTCTCAGTGCTGGGATGGTATTATTTAAAAGGTTTTATACTTTTACCTCAGTGGATGTGAAATCCA